AGCGGGTCCCGGGGACACGCAGCTCCTCCGAGGCGCGGCCACTGCCTGAGCCCGCGCCCCCTGAGCCCTGGGTCTTGCCCCCACAGTCGCCCCTGTGATCCTCCTGGAGTCCCACTGCGCGGCGGCCCGAGACACGGTGCAGTGCCTGTGCGTGGTGCGGGCTAACCCCGAGCCCTCCGTGGCCTTTGAGCTGCCCTCCCGCAACGTGACCGTGAACGAGACGGAGCGGGAGTTCGTGTACTCGGAGCGGAGCGGCCTCCTGCTCACCAGCATCCTCACGCTGCGGGGCCAGGCCCAGGCCCCGCCCCGGGTCATCTGCACCTCCCGAAACCTCTACGGCACCCAGAGCCTGGAGCTGCCCTTCCAGGGAGCCCGTGAGTGGGGTGACCTGGGGCCGGGGGTCCCGGGGAGGGAGAGGGCGCCCCTTGGGTTCCAGCTGCCCTCCTCAAGGTGGGCCACCAGCCACCGAGCAAGGGCCAGTGGCTGTCCCCGTGGGCGACACCAGCTGCCCGGCGTCCCTTGCACCTTACTGGCGCCTCCTGGCCTGTGGGGTCAGTCAGTGCCAGGATGTGCCAGCTGTGTAAACACCCCGCTGTCATCTCTGCCCCGGCTGCTTGCTAAGAGCCTGGTCCCCCCTCCACCGGCAGCGCTGAGGGCGCCTGGGTCTTCTCTCCCCTGTCCCCAGACCGCCTGATGTGGGCTAAGATCGGGCCCGTGGGTGCCGTGGTCGCCTTCGCCATCCTGATCGCCATCGTCTGCTACATCACCCAGACACGCAGAAAGTGAGTGGCCCGCCAGGCTGATCTGGGCGTGCGCGGACTCCAGGGCGGGGGCGGATGGCGGGTGCAGGGCGGCCGAGGGTGGGCAGACTCTGCTGGACGGGACAGAGGGCCGCTGCCAGCCAGGAGCGGTGCCGGCGGGACCCAGGGCCTGGCTGGCGCTGTCCACCCTCGTTACCGCTGCCCACCCTCTGTGCTTTGGCCTCTTGCCCCGCAGGCGCTCCCCCGCACACTCTCGGGGGTGATGAGGGAAAGCCCGGCTCCCCTGGCTTGCCCGGCACCAGTTGCTTCCAGAAGCCCCATGGTCACAGCAAAAATGCTCCCAGCCCCACCCACCTGCCGCCACCTGCTGCCGATATTTCTCTTCCTCAAGGCAGTCCTGAAAATGACTTAAGCTCCCTGCTCCACCTCCAGGCAGACAGAGCCAGCACCGAGGGGAGCCCAGAGAAGCCAGGCCGGGGTCCTGCAAGGCGGCAGAGACCAGGGCCGCCGGCCCGCCCTGGGCCACACGGCAGGGCTGGCGGGGTGGGGCCGGAGGCGCCATCTTAGATGGGTGGGAGCGCGTCTGGGGTCCCTCGGGCCACATTCCTCCTGTGGATGGGGCTGCAGGGAGGGCGAAGGAGGGGCGCGAGTCCTGCCGGGGCTGACCTGTCCTGCCCTGCAGAAAGAACGTGACAGAGAGCCCCAGCTTCTCGGCGGGGGACAATCCCCCCGTCCTGTTCAGCAGCGACTTCCGCATCTCTGGGGCGCCGGATAAGTATGAGGTGAGGGCCAGAGCCCGGTGGCTCCAGGAGAGCAGGAGAACCCGGATGCAGGGATGCCGAGGGCCAGGGAGGGGCCGGGAGGTCAGGGGCAGAGGGAGGCCGGCGGGCTGGCCCGGACCTGAGGCCACGGAGGGGCTCCGGGGAGTCGGGGAGCTGGGCCCATGGGAAAGCCTCCTGCTCCCTGCCTGGGTCTATGACTGCATTTCCTTCTCCAATAGTCCAGAGAGGTCTCTACCCTGGAGTGAGCGCCCCAGGAGGTAGGTTCCGGGGGCCTCAGTGTGCCCAGCCCTGGGCCCGGTGGGCCTGGGGTTCGGCCTGCATGTGTGTCCCTGCCAGGTGTCCTGCATGGACCCCAGTTAAGTCCGGCCCTGCTGGCCTTGTCTCCCTGTCCCATCGCTGTCCCTCTGTCTGTCTGTGGCCACTATCCTGTGTGTGTGTCAGAGGCCTCTGTGGGGCTGGGGGGCGGGGAAGCCGTAGTTCCCTGCAGGGCCCCCAGCTTGACCAGGGAAGCACAGCAGGTCCAAACCCAGGGGAAGACCCACTGAGCCAGCGTTCGCAGAATGGTGGGGTCCTGGCCAGTGGCTTCGGTCAGGGAAGGTTAAGCAGGTGACCTCCCCCAATTCCCATGCCGAAGAAGACTCCCCAGAAACCAACTTGTAGGCGACCCCTATGCCACCAGCCCCTCGTTGCTAAGGCCTGGGCAAAGGCCCGAGAGCGGCCACAGCCTGCGGGACCGGCAGGGCTGACAGACCTTTGGGGTGCAACTCTGGAGCTGTGGGGGTGCAAGCCACCCCAGCCCGTGCAGGCGGAGAAGGTGGACCGGACTCTGCTAAAGGCTTGGTTCCCTTCTTAGAGCGAGAGGCGCCTGGGATCTGAGAGGAGGCTGCTTGGCTTGCGGGGGGAGCCCCCAGAGCTGGACCTGAGCTATTCTCACTCGGACCTGGGCAAGCGGCCCACCAAGGACAGCTACACCCTGACGGAGGAGCTGGCCGAGTACGCCGAAATCCGCGTCAAGTGAGGGGGTGCGGCACCTGTGTGGCGCCCCCAGGACCCTCGCTGGCCCCCACTGGCTGCGGGCTCCCTTCCTTCCCAAAGTAGAGGGGTCCGGGGCAGGAAAGGGACGGGGCAGGGACCCGCAAGGTCCTGGGGGCCTGACCTCCCCTCCTTCCTCGCCGCCCCCATCTGCCACTCCCCACTCCCACCTCGTGGCTCCCCTCTAACCTCCTTTAACCTCATCTGTCTGGAGGGGAGCTCTGTCTGTCCGTGTTATTTATTGCTACCCGTGCCTGTTTCCCTGCCCCCACACCTGGCCCAGGGCCTGTCGGGAAAGGACATGAAATAAATGCCCCAAATCAAAAGCCCGTCTAGCTTCTGATGATGTCTGATCCATCCTTGGGGTGCCCGCCACCCTCTCTTCGCCCTCTGCTGGGTCCTGCGGGGCCAGGCCAACGGGCACGAAGTCGCTCCCCTGCCAAGTTGGCAGTTGAGGCTTGGGGATGGTCCGGGGCCTGCGATGTTTGACTTGTGGGTGATTTCATGCAACAGCCCTCCTTCCTGCCATCCCCTTTGCCAGTCAGAGCAGCAGGCCTCACGGGGCTGGCATTCGCAAGTGCCACGTGTCAGGGAAAGACATGGCGGCTGCCCCTTCTGAGTCGGCAGAGGCTCCCTTTGCCACAGTCCCCACTCGTCCTTGTTGCCTCGCACCTGGCTGGCTTCACGCCGGCTTTTCCTGCAGCTCGGAGGAGAGGTGCCCAGACCTCAACGCTCCCTGTGCCCGTGTTGCTTTGACTCACAGCCTCGCGGTCCTCACAGGCCCAGGGCCTGGGCTCAGTTCCTTTTCTACGTCATCTATGTCCACGTCACCTGTCAGATTCTGGTGTGAACGATGCTAATAACTGACATTTGCTGAGTGCCGTGTGAGGCTACCTGATTTACATTCATTCATCTCGGGTTCCTTCAGCTAAGTGGTTCTCCAAGTCTGGCGGGGCGGGGGCTTGGGTATTCCTGATGGACAATATCAGCCTCCCCTGAACCTCGTTAGACAGATTCTCAGGCAGCACCCCCGAATATAAGAGCCCAAATCTCCATTTTCACGAGTCCCCCAGCTGCTTCTGGGGTGCCAATGTTGGGGAGCCTGGAAAGGCTGAGGCACAGAGGGTGACATTCTCTTTTGAGGGCCCCCAACTTTAACTGTGGAGCCCCCATTTGAGGGGCCCCGAGCCCTGAGTGTGGGGCCCCTGCTCTCACACTGGGCTGCACTGCTGTTTGGGTGAGAAACCTCAGGAGCCTGCCAAGTGTGGAGGGCACAGCAAAGATGGGGCTGCAGGGGATCCCCAGGAAGGCAGCTCTCTCCTGGTTTTTGAGGACACAACAGAGACCACAGTCAAGGCCTCCAGGCGGGAATAACCAAACTGCGTCAGGAGGCCGGTGGCGAGACAGCTGTGGCTGGAGCAGAAAGGCCAGTGTGGTGGCGGCCGGCACTGAGCGTTGGGGAGCCCCTAGCCTGAGGCCCAGCCCAGCCCTCCCGTCCCCCACCAGCCTGCAGTCTGCCGGAGAAGGACGCTGAACACCCTCAGACGCCATGCCTGACTCCCAGAGGCACTGCGGGCTGCGAGCACCTAGAATGGAGGTGTGACTTCAGGCCCAGGGGCCCGGGGCGGCATCCCTGGGACAGGAAAGTGACATGGGAACACCCCAAGTGAAGGTCCCAGTGGGAGGTGTTTGGAGAAACTCCGGGAGCCGACTAAGGCCAGAGGGGCCGGGAGAGGAGCGGCCTGTCGCTGCGGAACTCCTTGGAGCAGAAGCCACAGAAGCCTGCCATGACACACCTGTTCCGGCCTGGACCTTGGCTCCGGCAGGTCTGGCTCCTAGGAATGCCGAGGACTTCGCCCTGGCCCCGAGGAGCGCAGCAATGTCACCAGGAGGGCCCCGGGGTAACCCTTTGCTGCCAGAGCAGACCCAGTGCCAGGCCCAGGGCCGGAGCGCCTGGCCTGGGTATTGGACTGTCAGCTCATTCTGTGTGTTTCAGAGCAAGAAGAAGCCAGTCTGCCAGGGAGGTGGGTTTTTTTTTTTCTTTTGATAAAAGCTTAGGATGACGCTAGTTTAACAATATCAATCCAGTCGGTTGATCTCAAGACTTGTATGAGCTGGGATATGGCTGGTAGTTTATCAGCAAAGCTCGAGAGGCTGTGGAGTAACGAAACCACCTGCTGGAAAGACCATCTCTTCCAGGGACTTACTGCTGACCTGCCCAGTGTCCAGACGGAGAGGGGCTGGGGCGGGGCGAGAGGGCACCGCGAGTGGAGGCACCTGCCCCCACACGTGTCTGC